CTCGTATCAATATCAAATAGGTGTATCCATACTTAACTACCTGTATTGAGTAGTCAACATGTGGACTACTTTGTCTCCATATAGTTGTACGACTCTTTGCATTAAAGTCACGTCCAGGCCTTTCTTGGCTGCTTCATGAGAGATGATAGTTGGAGGTAACTGGTGGTGATCGCCTGATAATATACACCTAAAGGAAAACGAATGTTTCATCGTGTGAAAAGAAGTGAAGAACATCTTTGTTTTATCGCAGTCGGAGGGGACAGGGAGAAACAAGGAAAATAACAATGGGTGCGTGAGGGGTGGTGGTGTGCGCTGGTAATGCACTGCCTCTAAACAGCTGTTACTATTATCATCATCATCGCCATCATCATCATCATCATCGTCATCAGCACCATCATCATCGTCATCAGCACCATCATTTTCATCATCACCATCACCATCATCACCATCAATATCACCAACATCAGCATCATCATCCTTAACAGCATCCCCATCATCACCATCATCATCGTTAAACTGATCAGTATCATTATTATTATTGTCATAATCATCATCTCCACCATCATCATCACCACCATCATCATCATCACCATCATTATCATCACCATCATGCACCACCAAATCATTAGTATTGTTAACTTCATCAGCATCATCAATATTATCATCATTTCACAGAATGCAGTGTTATCTTACCTTGGTGCTCTTAGCAAAGGAATCCAACAACTGGCTTCCAAAGCCTGTGCAGCTTCATCTATCACCACCAGATCAAAATGATTTTCCATGACCCCACCCAAAGGACCATCACTCGCTGCACTGGTATTGGTTGCCAAGACGACCTCAGCACCTGTGAGAATCTCTTTGATTGCTTTCTTTTCTCTATGTCGTAGTTCTTTCCGAAGGGTTTTGATTTCTTGCCTTAGGTTTTTTCTCTCTGCAGCTCCGCGGGACTTTCTCGAGCTTGTCTAAAACACAAAATCATTGGAGTACTGCATGTCCTGCATTCTCATCTTTTATTACACCTCTTAAGGTGCTGACACACGGTGCAAAATTACGTGCAACATTGCAAGCAACAAATTTGAATTGGGGCTGATAACATTGAAACAAAATCATGCAACATCGCTTGTGTCAGCCTGCTATGTTAAGATAATTGGTCAGCAGTTAAAAATTTGGTACAAGCTGATTGGCTGGAAATTTCAAAATGTTGCAGGTAACGTTGCAGCCATGTTCACATGATGAAATTTGTTGCACACAATGTTGTAAGAGTAGAGCACGATTCCACTTCAGATTTGTTGCATGCAACGTTGTGTGCAACAAGTTTGGGGTAGACACACACTGCAACAGTCCTGTTGCGTGCAATGTTGCACCGTGTGTAGCACCTTTACTACATCATTTCTAACCAATAGACCTCTTGCATGTGACGTCAAAGCAGCTCAATTTGAAGGACATAACAAAAGAATTTCAATCTCCTGAGAATTGGAAACCTATTGTTATGTCCTCCAAATTAAGCTGAAGACTTTAATTAATATGCCTTAGTCTCATGGTACGATGTTTTCCCATTACAGAACACGTCATTCTCTTGATAATAAGATTATTTGTTTGAATTGTAACTATGTTCATTTGTCTTCTCATGCACAACCGTGAAAAAAAGAAATGATTCTCTAGGGAATGACACGTGATCTGCAATGGCAACACATTGCCTACCACAAATAAAGTCTATAGACCCCTTTCATGTGATGTCAAAGCAGCTCAATTTGGAGGACAAGACAAAAGAATTTAATTCTCAATAGAATTGTAAACCTATTGTTATGTTCTCCAAATTGAGCTACATTCTGACGTGCTGCAAGAGGTCTATGTTGGAGGGATGTAAAAGAACCACTAGCGAAGTAAGGAAACCTTGGCAGTGACCTTTGCAATCACCCCTACCCCTTAGACAAAGGGATTACTCCCCCCCCCCCACACCCTGGCTACATCTTGTGACAGAGTCAAAAGACACTATTTTGGACAGTAATTATTTAGTCATAAATCTATATTTTTAATTAGGAATGCCTCGTGTACACATAGGAATGTAATTCTTTAGTT